TGATACATTTAAGATACCATCAGATGATTTGTTATACACATAATGGACTGCCAATTGTGTGGATTAGTGTAGACACTATATTTTCATGTACTGTTGTTTTAATGCTTTGTGAACTCCACCCTGGAGGAGGAGGAGGAGGAGGAGGAGGAGGAAGAAGAAGAAGAATATTTAAATAAATAAATAAAATGTTCACAGCTATTGAATCTTGGCTTTCAGAGATGGTGAAGTAATGAAAGCGAATGCTGACTGCTAATGCATGCTTCATACAGCTGCATGAATATAATCTTGTAAAAATGTTGACTGCTTCTGGAAAAGCATTGCATAAAACTATGAAATATTCACTGGATATTCACTAACACAGAAAATATTCAGAAGCTAAAAAATTGTTGGAGATATTTTGGGGGACACATTTATTTCAGCTTCCATTCTCACACTGGAAAGAAGGAAGAAATACATATTAAGGAATATACTTGTCCAATCCATCAAGTATATCACATCAATACTTTCCCCGTATGCAAGCAAAAATTCTTGGGAAATTACTAGGGGGGAATGAACTTAGATGGAACTTATATGGAAAAAATATGGAACACTCCAAATTAGTTAGTATTTGGTGGGGGGGGGAACCTTTGCATGAGGAATACCAGCAACCTGCTTAGAGACATAGAATCATAGAATCATAGAGTTGGAAGAGACCACAAGGGCCATCAAGTCCAACCCCCTGCCAAGCAGGAAACACCATCAGAGCACTCCTGACATATGGTTGTCAAGCCTCTGCTTAAAGACCTCCAAAGAAGGAGACTCCACCACACTCCTTGGCAGCAAATCCCACTGTCGAACAGCTCTTACTGTCAGGACGTTCTTCCTAATGTTTAGGTGGAATCTTCTTTCTTGTAGTTTGGATCCATTGCTCCGTGTCCGCTTCTCTGGAGCAGCAGAAAACAACCTTTCTCCCTCCTCTATGTGACATCCTTTTATATATTTGAACATGGCTATCATATCACCCCTTAACCTCCTCTTCTCCAGGCCAAACATGCCCAGCTCCCTTAGCCATTCCTCATAAGGCATCGTTTCCAGGCCTTTGACCATTTTGGTTGCCCTCCTCTGGACACGTTCCAGTTTGTCAGTGTCCTTCTTGAACTGTGGTGCCCAGAACTGGACACAGTACTCCAGGTGAGGTCTGACCAGAGCAGAATACAGTGGCACTATTACTTCTCTTGATCTAGATGCTATACTCCTATTGATGCAGCCCAGAATTGCATTGGCTTTTTAGCTGCCGCGTCACACTGTTGGCTCATGTCAAGTTTGTGGTCAACCAAGACTCCTAGATCCTTTTCACATGTACTGCTCTCAAGCCAGGTGTCACCCATCTTGTATTTGTGCCTCTCATTTTTTTGCCCAAGTGCAATACTTTACATTTCTCCCTGTTAAAATTCATCTTGTTTGTTTTGGCCCAGTTCTCTAATCTGTCAAGGTCGTTTTGAAGTGTGATCCTGTCCTCTGGGGTGTTAGCCACCCCTCCCAGTTTGGTGTCATCTGCAAATTTGATCAGGATGCCCTTGAGTCCATCATCCAAGTCGTTGATAAAGATGTTGAATAAGACTGGGCCCAAGACAGAACCCTGTGGCACCCCACATCAAATACACAAATACATTATATATATCTCACATACATATACATGGCAAGTGTTGCTTTCATTATGGGAGGAAATAGGTTTGCTGACATCTGTTGATGTGATGCTAACCTATCAGAAGATATACATATATAGTAATGATTTCCATGCTAATGAATATCTAAGATCAGACTGCCAGTACTGCTCATGATACTCTGCCACAGTGCAAACAACAGAGAAATGAACTGCTGAGTAGTGTATCAGTCTATTCTATAGATAATAAATATTTAGACACAGATAGAGCATGTGAAATGAGAGTTTTGAGTTAAAGCTTGGTTCACTTTGCATGCCAATCAGAAAACCAGAAATAGGATTGATTACAAACATTCATTTTGCTCTTCAATACAAACCTTTCAAAATTGGAGCCAATCTCTACCGAACACAGCAGCTAAACTTTTCAGTGTGGTAATAATGTGGCAATAATCTGCTCAAATTTTCCTGTAATCCTCCAGATATATGGGAGAAATGTAAAATAAGATTTGGGTGATCTGTGTCATTGTGAAATGGCTGCTTCTAGCCAACAAGGAAGAGACGCAAATGGCAGAACTAGAAATTTCTTCTGAATGGCATCCAAGTTGACAACAGCCAAATGCACTGAACTTTCCACTACCTTGAATTTCAGCCAATTGGCCATGGGGTGATGCGTGTGCATGTCATTAGGGCCAAAAGCTAGGGGTATAAATATTAATACATTTCTATTTTCAAACTCTACAGACTGGTTTTCAATAATTTAACATGTATGGAGCTCAGGAAAGAAATATGTGCTTGAATTCTCATGCGCTGCCTTACAACTCTGCTAATGCTTTTCATCTCATCCCATCCCTTTCCTTATTCATTCATTTCCAAGCTATTTATATATTTCATATGCTTAATCCCAGAATTCAGCTGAAGGAGAGGGTGAAAGTGGCCAGATTCAGTTATATATGACATACACAGCTCTGTAGAACCCCCTATGTGGGCATTGCTGGGATTTGGCCATTGCAAACAGTGTCCAGGTGGAAGTGTAGATTTTGGTGAATTTCCTGAAAAATAGCTCTAAAACTAAAATAACTCTAAAACAAAGCTCAACAATTTGGGGCAAAAAAAAAAAAAAGCCTAATAATAAAGTTCAATAACTTTTCTATCTGGATTTTCACTTTTTTAAATATGGCAACCCTATCATATCTTCTCTGGAACTATGAAGGATATAAAGGGCTGTAGCTTCCCTTTTCCTGGCTAGAGTGTTCATAGGCACACTCCCAGCAGGAAGTGTGCAGTGAACATAGAAGCCAACTCCTTGGGGCTGAGGTCCCTACAGTCCTTCCAATAATTTTTTTGAGGAGGCTGGGTCCCCCAGAGTTGATGGAGATTGGCATTCAAATGGTGTGTGTGTGCCCCCCAATATTTTATTCAAGTTGGCACTCCTGGCACTGAAAGGAAGAGAAAATTGCTCCCACACTTTCATTGGGGATGAATGTCCCTTCCAAAAAATAGGAGTGGGATTTGTCTCCATGTTAATTCATATACACCAACCCATGTCACTATTTTATTTTCACATAGCCCTATAGCAAAGTCCTTGGGGCAGCTTGCATTGAGATACAATAATGTGGGAGATTTTGAATAGCATCCCATTCAGAAAGGCAATATGTCTACCGGGACATTTCCTAAAAGAGTGACAGCCATGGTGAAGATTGCAAATTGCCAACATACATTTGTTTTATTGTATGAAATAAAAAAGAACTGCTGATCTCTCCTCTGATATCGCCCTGAATAGTATTTGGCCACTCCTTCATCAGAATCAACAGTCATTTCTTATTGCTTCAGATTCACCCTTTTCATAAATTCTATGGTGATTTCTAACAATACCAGTGAACTACTTCTATGCAAGCTGATGTTGATTGATGATTACCGACATCATATCCATCCTCCATGTGACAAGTTAAAATAAGGATAGAAACTGGTTTTGGGTTTTGTTATTATCCCCATTTATTTCCATTGTTCCCCAGATCTAGCCATGCTGAAGTGAGTGTGCAGAAAAGCATCAGTGGTCCTCAATCCTTGCTATGACAGAGATGGAGGGATGGAGCTTTCTCTGCCATCCCTTTCACTTTGATAGAATAGTATGAAATGCAGGAAGTAAGGCAGCAAAAAAGAAAAAGAAAAGGTTTGATTCACTGCTGGAAAGTCTCAGCTGAATCCAGAGAGCATCCATGTAAAACATAGGAAGCTGCCTTATACTGTGTCAGATGGTTGGTCCACCAAGCTGAGCATCATGTACACTTCCTGGCAGGGGCTGTCCAGGGTTTAAGCTGGGGGCATTCCCAGTCCGACCTGTAAATGCTGTGGATTAACCCTGAAGCCTTATCCATATTTGCATGCAGATGGTCCCAGGTTCATCCCCCAACATCTCCAGTTAGGGCCTGAAAGTCCACACATAAAATACTGCAGACACAAAACTGAACTAAATGGGGCAGTGGTCTGACGCAATATAAGGCAACTTCCTACATTCATGTTTCATGTTTTTCATGGGCAGAACTAGAATAAGAAAAGCAGGCCATTCAAAATCCATTTTCTTAAATGTAAAAGATTTGAATACCTGACTGATGCTGAATATATTATGCTTACAGCCTTAGCACTACTAAACACAGCTTTGATTAGCTAGGAATGCAATTATTTTTATAATACTACTTTGCAGACAAGATTGTAAGAATAGCACTGACCTTTTCTCTCCGCTTGCTATTTTAAAAGCTGTTTTCCTTAGACAGGCTGAAGATTTACTGGAGAAGTAAGTGCTTTGGCTACGTTTAAACACCGCAGAAGACAGACTAGCTGTGTTTTTAGACATTTACATCAAAGTAATTATAGTAGTATATTAAAGTTCTGCATTCATTAAAAGGACCTGAAGCAATTATACAAGAACACACACGTATGTGTGTGAGAGAAAGAGAACACAGGAAGGTAAAGAACTGAAATTTGATCACATTTTGGTAGTTGTGTCCCTCACAAATTGGTACCAATGAAGGATAGCAAAGAAATGAAAAAGATGAGATTATAATACGGTTTAGTATTTGCGCCATTGCAAATGTTCATAGACACAATTCTTTATTTAAATGATATTTATTAAAAGTTTTAAAAATTACAGAAGAAAAACAGAAATAACAATAAAGTAGAAAAAAACAATAACAAAACACATAAAACATATAAAAACCATACAATAGTACAGCAAAAAAAAAAAAAACAGACAAAAAAGAAACTAAAAAACACATCCAATATTCCATGTCTTTACCTTTCCTTAACTTATTTCATCGACCTCCTCACACCTCCCTTTTTTTGTATTCTAGTTCAATTCACTATTTCAGCAAGTTCTTCCCATCTTTCTCAATTTGGCTGGCTAGGCGGGTGTCCCCTTCCTCCCTCACCGCTCCATGTGCGTCCCTCCAGAAGCTGCGCGCTCGGTGGAAGAGGACGACCATCCCAGATAGAAGGAGTGTACCGTTCTTCGGTCAAGGGTATACGATAGCTGCGCTCCCCTGCTAGAACCTCCAAACAAGCTCAATTTTGATTCTATAGTTTTAACGATCTAACCTTAATTTTTTCAATTTAACCCAGTATCAATCAACTTTTACTTAATTCTTTGTTGCATTTCTACTAAAACCATGTTAATTCATTCCCGCATCCTTCTAACACTCATTAATTTTACAATGTTTCTGTAAGTATACTTTAAATTTTTTCCAATCTTCTTCCACCGACTCTTCTCCCTGGTCTCGAATTCTGCCAGTCATTTCCGCCAGTTCCATATAGTCCATCAACTTCATCTGCCATTCTTCCCTTGTAGGTAGATCTTGTGTCTTCCAGTATTTCGCAATGAGTATTGCTGCTGTTGTAGCGTACATAAAGAAAGTCCTGTCTTTCTTTGGCACCAATTGGCCGACCATGCCCAGGAGAAAGGCCTCTGGTTTCTTCAGGAAGATATATTTATATACCTTTTTCATTTCGTTATAGATCATCTCCCAGAATGCCTTAATCTTTCGGCATGTCCACCAAAGGTGAAAGAATGTACCTTCAGTTTCATTACATTTCCAACATTTATGATCGGGCAAATGATAGATTTTTGCAAGCTTGACTGGTGTTATGTACCACCTATAAATGTTTTTATGAAAACCTATGAGATGGCGGTGAAGGCCTCTAAGAAGTCTTACTTCTCGGCCTCCATTGCATCCGCTAGCTCTCGCCCGGCGCAATTATTTAGTATAATTAGGTCTTTAACGTCCCTTGAAGGACAGCCAAATTTAAATAACAATCTGACACACAGCTGTGAGGCATTTGCGAGCTTTTTGTGGAGAAGGTCCTGTTGCTCCGCCATGACCTCCCTGCCAATTTGGATACAATAAAGGAACTGGAGGCCCCTCGACTGTCCTCGGGTCCAGTATTGGACCACTTTGATCGGATATCCCCAGCCGATGTGGACAGACTCCTCCGAGCTGGAAAGCCCACCACCTGTCCTCTTGACCCGTGCCCGACTTGGCTGAGTAGAGAGTGTCCAGACGAGGTGCGGGCCCCTGGGGATATCATCAATTTGTCCCTTGGCACCGGGATATTTCCAGGGGAATTGAAGGAGGCAGTGGTGCGCCCGCTCTTAAAGAAAACATCATTAGATCCCTTAGATCTATCCAATTACCGCCCGGTTTCGAATCTTCCATTCCTGGGTAAGGTGATTGAGAGAGCGGTTGCTGAACAGCTTGGTAGGTTTCTGGATGAAACATCGGCTCTGGATCCATTCCAGTCTGGCTTCGCGCTGGTCATGGGACCGAGACGGCTCTGGTCGCCCTAACAGATGATCTCCGCAGGCAGCTGGATCGAGGCGGGTCGGGGCTGCTGATTCTTCTAGACCTGTCAGCAGCCTTCGACATGGTTGATCACGAACTCCTGGACCACCGCCTTGCCGACGTGGGGATCCAGGGCACAGTCCTTCAATGGCTGCGCTGCTTCTCTCCGGTCGGGGACAGAGGGTGGCGCTTGGGGGAATTGTCATCCCGCCACTCCTTGGTGTGTGGAGTGCCTCAGGGTGCGATACTCTCCCCGATGCTTTTAACATCTTTATGCGCCCGCCCAGCTTGTCCGGAGTTTTGGGCTGGGCTGCCATCAGTATGCCGATGACACCCAACTCTATCTGTTGATGGATGGCCATCCTGACTCGGCCCCAGACACACTGACCAGATGTTTGGAAGCTGTGGCTGGATGGTTACGCGGAAGCCGGTTGAAGTTAAATCCTTCAAGACAGAGGTCCTCTGGCTGGGACGGGACGATATGGGATTGGGGGCAACTCCCATCTCTTGCGGGGTGCAATTAGTGCCAGCACCGTCCGTTAAGAGTTTGGGTGTAATCTTCGATACCTCCTCTCTATGGAGGCGCAGATTACAGCTATAACAAAGGCGGCATTTTTTCATCTCCGCCAAGCTAAGCAGTTGGCCCCTTATCTCTCTCGCCCTGACCTAGCCACTGTGATCCACGCGACGGTCACCTCCAGACTGGATTATTGTAACTCGCTCTACGTGGGCTGCCCTTGAGACTGACCCAGAAACTCCAGCGGGTGCAGAATGCCGCGGCGAGACTCCTTATGGGGTCTTCGCTGCGAGATCACATTCATCCGGTACTATACCAGCTGCACTGGCTCCCGGTGGAGTACAGGATCAGGTTTAAGGTGCTGGTTTTAACCTTTAAAGCCCTATACGGCCTAGGACCCTCGTACCTACGGGACCGCCTCTCCTGGTATGCCCCACAGAGGAACCTACGGTCTGCAAATAAAAACATCCTGAAGGTCCCAGGCCTCAGAGAGGTTAGGCTGGCCTCAACTAGAGCCAGGGCTTTCTCGGCTGCGGCTCCAATCTGGTGGAACGCTCTGTCACAAGAGACTAGGGCCCTGCGGGACCTGACATCTTTCCGCAAGGCCTGCAAGACAGAGTTGTTCCACCAGGCCTTTGGTCAGGGCCCAGCCTGACTCCCTCCTCTGGCAACCTGCACAGAACTTTGCTTAACGGTTGCCATTAATTTGATTTTAATTAATTTTTATAATGAAATGTTTTAGAATGTTGGATTATTTGATTGTTTGATTATTTGTTTGTTGTTAGCCGCCCTGAGCCTGGCTTTGGCTGGGGAGGGCGGGATATAAATAAAATTTATTATTATTATTATTATTAAATCATTTTCATTAAATTCTCTTTTAAGGCATTACATGCCGTAAACTTCATACCAGTGGTCCATAACTGTTCCCAGTCAGCCATCATAATATTATGTCCAACATCTTGTGCCCATTTAATCATAGCAGATTTCACCATTTCATCTTGAGTATTCCATTTCAACAGCAAGTTATACATTCTTGACAAATTCTTAACTTTAGGGTCTAACAATTCTGTTTCCAACTTTGATTTTTCCATCTGGAAGCCAATTTTTTTATCCAAATTATTTGATAATAATGGAGCCAATCTCGTACTCTGTTTTTTAATTTTTCAAAACTCTGCAGTTTTAATCTGTCACCCTCTTGTTCCAAAATTTCCCAATACTTCGGCCATCATAGACACAATTCTTTTCTTCATTTATCATACCAGTATCTATTCAACAGAAATATATAATTTTAACCTTATTTGCTTGCTGACGCTAAACATGCCACAGTCCAGGAAGGAGTCCTTGCCAGAAAGTATGAAATCTGCATACACAGAATTCCTTGTCTTTGCAAGAAAACCTACAGGGGGAACACTACAGATCCAAATACACTATTGGTGGAGGAGTAGATCAGCTCTGGATGCTGCTCTGCACATCTAAGTTTAGTTACCAGAAATAATTCCTCGGCTCAGACAACAAATATCAGCAACGCATAAATTTGATCTTAAGTACAAGGTGAACATTATGTATGCCCTATCATAGACTCATAGAATTGTAGAATTGGAAGGGACCCCAATTGTTTTATGAACCTAATGCCTGCAATGCAGGAATCCCAGACAGGTGGCTATCCAACTTCTGCTTAAAACCTCCAATGATCCAGAGTCTACCACTGTCCAAGGTAATCCATTCCACTGTGGAACAGCTCTCACCATCAGAAAGTTCTTCCTACTGTTAAGTCAAAATATCATTTCTTGTAATTTGAAACTGTTTGTTCGGGTTCTACCTTCTATAGTTGGAGAAAACAAGCTTGCTCCATCTCCCATGTGACAGCCATTTAGATATTTGAAGGTGAATATCATATCACCATTCAGTCTTCTTTTCTTTCAGATTCATGCTCAGCTAGTAATCGAAGCCAGACAAGAATCCAGTTCTTCCCTCAAACTCATCCACTTCCCTCCAAACCTTACTTTCCAGCAAGTCTCCAGCCTTTCACTTCCACAAGTCTGCAGCCTCTCCCCAACTACCTGTCTTACTATTCACCAAGTTACCCCGCTGCTGCAGTTCTGGTTCAGGTACTGGTAAAAAGGGAGGATGGTTTATCTCTCTACTCTCCTCATTTCTTATCATAGAATTGTAGAAATGGAAGGGACCAGAAGGATCACCTAGTCCATCTCCCTGCAATGCAGGAATCTTTTGCTCAACGTGGGGCACAAACCCATGTTGTGGGTGGTAAAATTGCATGCTCTACCATCCACCATCTCACTCATATCTGATACAGGAACAAAATTTACATGGTGTCCATTTGGAAACAGGGTTACTAAGGTTCTTGTTCTTCCCTGGCAACATACCAAGCACCACTTCCCACCAAAATCTGAGGCTCTGAGACAAGGAGAGGGTCTGAGCAGCTGCATCTCATTTAGACCATGATGGAGGCAAGTCTTCCCTTGTGGGCAATTCACAGTTGCCAGGCAACAGCTTTCTATGAGGTCCAAAGTACCAAGAACCTAGAAGCAGAGCATTTATACAAACAAGTCTCAGTTGTGGAAGCTGAATTTGATACAAATAGCAGATTTTATGCAAATAATCACAGGAAGAAAAACTTTGAAGAAATGTAAATAAAGATGTCTGTACATTCATGTTTGAGTTCTAATTAAGCTACTTTGATATTTCATTAGTTCTGATGCAGGAAAATCAATATATGTCCAGTTCATTATCAGACATTTTGGTTTTTCTTTGCAAAACCAAGGGGAGTAAAATTACATGTTGGTGCTTTAATTATCCTAGCCTATGCCACTAATTTTCCTAATTATTCTTTAATTATCCTTTCCTATCTAATGGAAGCCTCAAATATCAAAGAGAAAGTGGAGAGAAAATGGCATACCAAACGAATGAAACATTAATTGGGGATATTGTTTGCCTGAGCCACAAACTCATATGAAGAATGGCATATGGATTCTTGCGAGTGGTCTTGTGATGTTAATGCCAATTCATTGCCAGCTTATAATCTTGTCCCAAATCTACTGATTTTAAATGCTTTCTTTTTATCCTGGGAATCCCCATGTTGGGAAGAATCAGCATCAGTTGTGTTCTGAATGATAATGGCAGTTGTGATGTGAAATACATAAGGATGTGAATTTGACTTTAGGCATTTATTCATTCAGTAGGGCCGGTACACAAGTTTGCTTTGTGAATATGCAGTAGCTAAAAGTCTCTGCTGACTTGCTTTTTTCCTGGGGACACTATGAAAAACAATCT